TATGACCATTTCTCTGATTTCTTTCTCTGACAGGTTGCTTGCCTCCGTTGCCTCCATTTTCATTTACTTCCTTTTCTGGCGATGCCTGTTTTTCTTTCATATGCAGTCTGGTTCTTGGTCTCCCCATGATCTCTCTTCTCCAGGTGATGGGTTATGTAGTTCTCTCTCTGCTTCAGGTGAAATCTGACCTTTCCATAAGAAGCAGGGCTCCACGTAGTGGCGCTGTCCCAGATCTGGTGTTCCTGGGTTAGCAGTCGATCTCTGGATGCCGTGTCTTTGGATGTATACGCTTCCAATAACAGCCACTCAAGATGGCATGGTCTCTGCGGCTGAGCCGGCGCTCCGGGACAGATTCCAGCCACAGTCTCCAACTGTCCCCTTTCTCCGGAGTCCTCCACTTTTCCCGGCTGCAAACTGTCTCCCAGCTGAATATCCTCTGCATATTTGGGCTGTATGTTACCTGCTTCAGCTGCTCACCCTTCAGTTCACATTTTTTTTAATCCACTGTGTCAACCTCTGTTTTTAGTGTATTTAGATAATTTACATTTGATAGAATTAATATGTTAAGGCTTAAATCTGCCACTTAACTGTTTATTTTTCTCTCAGCTATTTAATTCTCTATTTCATTTTCCTGCATTCCTGTGGGTTACTTGAACATTTTAAAATTCCATTTTATTAAAAAGTTTTAATTCTGATTCACATGAAGTTGTAATATATAGGGAAGAAAGATCCTATTAGCCCATTTACCCAGTTTCCTCTAATGGTAACATCTTGCTTCATAATTGTCTTAAATACTTCCTCTATATTCACTGAGAATGTCAGGAAATGTTATAATTTTTTATCCAAATGTCAAACATAATAAAAAACCTCAAGAAGAGCCTGGCTGGCAAGGCTCAGTGGTTGAGCATAGACTTATGAACCAGGAGGTCATGGCTTGATTCCTGGTCAAGGCACATGCCTGGTTTGCAGGCTCGATCCCAATTGTGGGGTGTGCAGAAGGCAGCCGATCAATGATCCTCTCTCATCATTAATGTTTCTAATTCTCTCCCCCTTCCTCTCTGAAATCAATAAAATATATTTTTTAAAAAAGAAACCACAAGAGGAGAATGATCTATAATAATAAAAGCATAATATGCTAATTAGACTGGACAGCCAACCTTCCAGACGTCCTTCCGCACGAAGCCAGGGCTTCGAGGGCCAAGGCTGCGAGGGACAAGGCAGCTGCCACGGCTGTGAGGGCCAAGCCCCTTGCATGAATTTTGTGCATCAGGACTCTATTCTACTATACTTCTTTATATTTTTATTCTTTCTATTGTTCTCCCTTTGTTCTTAATGTTCAAAGTTTCTTTCTTTTGTCATTTTCTGTTTAGAGAACTTTGGCCATTCTTTTAGGATGGATCTGCTAATGAAAAATTCTCAGTTTTACTTTTTCGGAGAGTGTCTATTTCCCTTCTACTCCTGAAGGATATTTTTTGCTGGGTACAAAATGCTGGGTTGACAGTTTTTATTGCTGCACTTGAAAAATGTTGAGCCATTTCCTCTGGGCTCCATAACTTCTAATGAGAAATCTACTGTCAGTCAAATAATTTTTCTCCTATAGATAATCTGTGGTTTCTCCTAAGTTTCAAGATTTTTTTCTGTACTTAGTTTTCAGAAGTTTGATTATGATGTACCTTGACATGGACTTCTTTGGGTTTATCCCGTTTAGGGTTTATTCATCTTTCTGAATGTAGTTTTATGCCCTTTGCCAAATTTGGGATATTTTCAGCCAATATTTCTTCAAATATTTTTTCAGCTCCACAGTTTCTCTTCTACTTCTGCGACTCCAAAGATAAAGATATTAGATCTTTTATTTTTATTCCACAGCTCCCTATTGATGTTAAATTTTTCTATTTTCTCTATGTTGTTTAGGCTGGATAATTCCTATTGCTATATATTGAAATTTGCTGATTCTTTCCAATGTCTTTGCAATTTTTCTCTGGACCCCATGCAAGTAAGTTTTTATATAAATTATTGTATTTTTCAGTTCCAAACTTATACTTGGTTCTTATTACATTTTCCATTTCTTCACTGATTTTCTATTTTTTAAATTTGCTTCAAGAGTGCTTATACTTGCTTGTTGAAACATAATTATGATGGCTGCTTTAAAAGTTGTGTCAGATAATTCAAATATTTGTTTCATCATGCTGGCTTCTGTTGATGATCTTTTCTCATTCAAGTTGAGATTTTCCTGGGTGGTGGTAAGATAAGTAATTTTTAAATTACATTTTGGCCCTGGCCAGTGTGGCCCAGTTGGAGCATCATCCCGTACACCAGGTCATGTTGTTCGATTCCTGGTCAGGACACATACCTAGGTTGTGGATTTGGTTCCCAGTTGGGGCACATACAAGGGTCAACCAATGATGTTTCTCAAATCAATGTTTCTCCTCCCTTCCTCTCTCTAAATAATCAATAAACATATCCCTGGGGTGAGGACTAAAAAAATTACTTTTTGGTCATTTTAGTATTGTCAAGAGACTCTGGATTACATTTAATCTTGTTTTAACAAGCCTCTACTAAAACTGAACTGGTAGAATAAAGTGTGCCAATAGGGAAAGTGGAGGGTGCTGAATCTTCACGATCAGGCAGGGGTCAAGTCCTGGCTTTCCAAAGGATCTCCACTGATGCCCTGGGGGGATGCCCTGTTAACATGACAAAGTTTTAGAAGTCCACTTTTTTACTCAGCCTCCACTGACACTGTTGGAGGCAGACAGTTGCCTTGTTGTTGGTGGGTGTAATAAGTTTCTAAGTTCCCTACTTGGTCTTCACGGACTCTATCTAGTCCCAGTGAGGAGCGATTCATCACCACAGGGCAGGGTAGAAATCCACTGACACTGCAAGGGCAGGGGATGGCAGAGAGGAGAACTTGTTACTGCCACAAAGGGGACAGACATAGGTGGAAGTTTATGCCTCTACTTACCTTTGCTGACAAAGGTATAGGGGCTAAGCTTCCCCCCCACCCCACCCCGCCCTAGTAATTGCAAGAGTAGGGTGTTTATTGTCAAATAGGCTTCTACCTTCCTAGGATGTCCCTTTCCCAGTCCTTGGCAACAGAGAACAAACTTTTCTTGGGACTTTTGGGGTCTGTGATAATTGGCATGCCTGAGTTGTGTGCCTACCATCTGAAACATGGAGGAAATAAAAAGAAAATCCAGAGAACTTACTGCTATGTCATTCCTTGAGTCTCAGGGTCCCTAGCCAGTTTGTCATCTTCTCTCCACCTTTTGAAGTCTTCTTGTTTGTTTTATTTATGATGTCCAGCATTTTTAGATGTACTTAGTAGGAGGGACAGGAGACATGTCTATTCCATTTTGTGTACATGTGTGTTTAAGGCACTAGAGGCCTGATTTAAGCTAATTTTATAGTCAAAATAGAAGATAAACATAAACTAAGAAGCAGAGAAATGCAGTAATAGTTATGAAATAAACCCATCTTCCATAGAAATATTATTACCTTTCCCAGCTGCCCTTCTAATCTTGGGAATGGTAAATTTCTTCAAAGGATTGTCTTCTACACCAGTAATCAATAAAGATTCACTGGCTGAGTTCATTTTCCACAGTGTCTTGTGTTTAGCAATCTCGTTCATTTCCATTTTTTTGGTGGCCTAAAATCAACCCAAAGTTATTAAGCAAAAAGTCAATACATTTATGAGGCAACGGCAGTAAAATCATTTAAAAGCTCTTACATGGAATTAAATAAAGCTATATTTTTGGACACACTGATAATAGTTTTCAATCTGAATTTGCCAGGTTAAATATTTATTTTGTAGTTTCTAAGAGACTTTTCTCTTGTAACTCATGTAATTGTAATTGGGTAACAAAAAGCCTCTGTGTTACTGAAAGCTTAATAACTACAAAACACCATTTTTTTTTTTTACTAACATTTGGTAAAATTTCTTGCCACATCCTCTACTTCTTACATTTTTTACCTCTGTGAATAGACAATAATATCTAAATCAGAATCTCTGGCTTTGGAAGAACTTATGGAAGTTGTAAACCAATTATTAGATGGCTAACACAAGTGATGGCCTAAAACAGTTACTCATTGACTGTTGTTCCTAAGTATCACTCTACAAATGGTTTAAGATATCATATATTGTCAAACTAGTAACAAATTCCTTTGCTTCCCTCCTCACTTCTTTCCCCAAACCCTCTCTCTCCTTCCCCACAATGAATTCACTTAAGGAATTCACTTAATTTGATTCTTAAACTTTCAAGTAGAATTTATATTGGATATCAAAGGAAAGCTATGGAGCCCACCACGTTATGTGTGAACATGTATTTTTCATACCATTTCATAAGCTAGTTAGTTCATGGGCCTCCTGATATCTATCAGCTGCTTAGCTCAAACATTACATCACAATCCAAAGTAAGAGCTGTCAAAATTCCACAGAAGAATCACAAAGGATAAGATTCTACTGAAAGTTCATGAAGGATTTTCCCCCTAATCCACCCGCCTCCTCCCTTTATGAAAGGTGAACTTGCACTATCCCAATCAATCGTGGATCAGAACAGAAATAGACATCTCTAGGAAGAGAAGAAAATCAGTCTTTCCTTGCGCCACATTGATAGACTCTTGTGGTGCTGACTTTTAATAAGAATATACTTAAAAATCTACCAGCTTCAGAGAGAGCTACCAAGACTATCATAGTCACCTGGTAGTTTTATAAGGGGAAAGAGGGAGCATAATTTATTAAAATGACTTATATGACAAAAAACTCTTCAACTAATCATGATCTATGCCTACCACACACAAAGGTATACAATCATCAGTTGAAAATACTTTACTTGAAGAGCTACATGCTGTAACAATCTTTAATATTGCTTTTAAATACAATTAAATTATATTTTCAGTAAAGGTAAATTATTTCAGATGTATGGTTTTTAATAAAATGTTTCTCTAATAGTAATAAAGACTTAAGGAATTCACTTAATTTGTTCAGAAACACTACCTCAAGTTAAGAATAAAACAAGGACACACATTATCACTGCTTCCTTTTAACAGTATGTGAGAGGTGCTCACAATGGCAGGAGAAATAAAAAGTATAAAGGAACTAAAAAGCTCATGGGAAAAGGAAAATGGCTTAGGAACTTCTAGGAGTGAGAGAGTGTCCCAGCTTGTAAAAGAAAGTTTAGACCTAAATACTATAGACAGATTAAGAATAAATTTTACTTAGAAAGGCAAAAAAAATAAGAAATAAAAAATCAGGTTATAATATTAGGCAAAATACCGAACCTCTCTGAGGCGAATAATAGAATCAAGTATCTCACATGGATACAGAACCTGGTCACAGTTAACTACACACAATTAACCATTAGTGTAACTCTGAAGCCTATACTATAGAATCAAGTTATTTGTCAAGAAGCACAGTATTGTAAAGTTAACTAGGTGAGAAGGCAAGTGCGGTTGGTTCTAACTCTAGCCCTGCAAACCAAATTAAAATTGGAGAAGTCACTAACTTCTTGTACAGTGATTACTCTGTGTGCATTATTCAGAGACTAATTAGTGGCAAAGGAATAAATCCCTTTTATGTCAAATAGCGAAGTTGAAAGACTTTATACTCTCAAAGTCTATTTCAAAAGAATATTTGTACTGAGATTCCTAAGTCTGTCATTAAAAACTAAAGACCTGAATACTTGAGACTTCTGGTAATAGATTAGAGATTACTAAATTAACCTGCAAAATCTTTTACCTAGTTACTATAAGAATCTTTAATAAGAGTACATTGTAAATAGAAATAAAAACAAAACAGTACTTGGTATTTCAACTGAACTTAAGAGTCCTATTAATAAGACTTAACTACTATCAGTTATGAAAAGGTTTTCTAATATAAGGCAACTTAGGATGACTGTAGATACATGAAGCATTATAGAGAAAGTTTTTTTCAGTCCTCTTTCAAACGTTTCCATTAATCAGCTTGTTAACTTACCTTTAACATCTCGAAAAATGTGCTCTCTCTCTCTTTTGAACAAAAAGAAACAATGCCTCAGTTTCAGGATTTCCTGGCAAATAATACTGTTATGTTTTACCTTGTATTTAGTATTACCTTTTATTTGTGCCATATAATACTGACTTTCCATTTATTTTCCATCCCCAAATATACTTAAGTGAAACATAAGTCTATTATTAAATTAAATTACTAAAATATTTTTGTAATTATGGTATGCAGATAAGACAAAAATCATTCCTCTTCTAGTAACCTCAGGAAAGAGTTCCTGAAGAATAAATGATGAGTAAATAATGTCCTTGGAACTTTAGTCACAAACACATAAATTCTGAGTTCTTGAGAGTTCTAAATACTTGAGACTAAGATTACTTCTAATAAACCAAAGGGTAAATCAGATCATACATATGATAAACTAAATATACACTTAGTGAGATTAAGCCCACTAAGTGTATATTTATTTTATGTATATATATTTTAGTCCACATTTTTATTGGACAAATCAGGGGCTGGACCAAATCCAGCCTCCTTCCTATTTTTGTAGGGCCCACAAGAAAAGTGATTGGAAAAAAATCAGGAATAATATTTAATGTCACCTAAAAATTACATAATATTCAAGGGTCCATAGTTAATGGAACACAGACAGACCTATTCATTTATCTACTGTCTATGGATGCTTTCTATTATAAAGAGTAAAACTGAATAAATGTGACAGAGACACTATGGCCCACAAAGATTAAAATATTTTCTATCTAGCCTTTTACAGAAAGTTTGCCAACTCCTGCTATAGATGAAGCAACTAAGTGTCGAAGAGTTGAAACAATAAATGTAGGTCTCATGATATCCATTTCAGGGATTTCTCCTCCTACACTCCCGCTGTTGCAATGATCTCTACACTATATTCTGAATTTCATCCCTACCCGCTTTGCTTCTCTCTATCCTGCTCAACAGCATTTAAATAGGCTCAAACCTGATCATTTAAAAAACAAAATCTGCCAGGGTTGTATTTAATTTCCACCATCACTACTCTACCTAAACAACAATCTTCAGTCATCCATGTCCAGAACAGTCTCTCTCTCACTCACATTAGTACATTTCTGGTTTAGAACTTACTTGGCCTCTCTACATTTGATACTCGACCAATCAGCTCTTCCTGAGTTTTGTGACTTCATAATCCTGACTTTACAGCCACTTCTCAAGTAGTACTTTCTTAGTCTTTTGATAACTCATCTTTCTTTAACTGGCCTTTATTACTGTTATAATTATTTTTTCACTTATATAAGAAAATAATTTTTAAAAAACCTCATTATTTTATCTTTGCAAGCAATAAAAATAGAACCTGGTGGGTTTAATTTGCATTTCTTTTACTATTAGTCTAGACTGAGTCATCTCATTTACTTTTTTCTGTGAATCAATTGTTCCTTTTCCTCCATTTTTTGCCTACAAGATGGTCTTTTAATGATTTGTAAGGACTCTATATAGAAAGCAGTTTTTAATTTGTCATAAGTGTTCCAATAGTTTTGTCTCTTAGTTTTATTTATGGCATTTTCCTCTCATAGCAGAACTTTACTTTTTGTGTAGTCTAACTTATCAATCTTTTATTATAACGAATCTTTATACTATCATCAATAGTGTATGAGAGTTCCATTTGCTCCACATCCTGATTGACACTTGATATTGGCAGACTTTAATTTTTGCCAATCTATTAGGTGCAAATAATATCTTATTGTGGTTATTCTGCATTTCTCTGATCTTA